CAAAAAAAAAAAAAAAAAAAAAGAGATTCTCTTGCCTCAGCCTAAAATAGCTGGGCCACAATGCCCAGCTATTTTTTTTTTTTTTTTTTTTTACTGCAGTTGTCATTGCTGATTTTAGCTGGCCTTGGCCAGATTCGAACCCGCCAGCCCTGGTGTATGTGGCCAGCACCCTACCCACTGTGCTACAAGCGCCACCTGAAACACTTATTTTTTTGCAGTTTGGCTGGGGCCGCGTTCGAACCCACCATCCTCGGTATATGGGGCCAGCACCCTACTCACTGAGCCACAGGTGCCACTCACTTTTTTTTTTCAATTGAGACAGAGTTTCACTTTGTCACCTTGGTAGAGTGCTGTGGCATCATAGCTCACAGCAACCTCAAACTCTTGGGCTTAAGTGATTCTCTTACCTCAGCTTCCCTAGTAGCTGGGACAACAGGTATTTGCCACAATGCCTGACTATTTTTTGTTTGTTTGTTTTGTTTAGCAGGCCCGTGTTGGATTGGAACCCTCCAGCCCCAGAGCATGTGGCCAGCACCCTAGCCACTGAGCTAAGGGCACCCAGCCTGAAACACTTTATTTTGAGACAGAGTCTCACTGTCTTGCCCCAGGCTAGAGTGCCATCATGGCAGCATAGCTTACAGCAACCTCAAACATCTGCCTTTAAGTCATCCTCTCACCTCAGCCTCCTAATTAGCTGGGATTACAGGAATACACCACCATGCCTGGCTAATTTTTCTATCCCTTTTTGTAGAGACTGGGTCTTGCACTTGCTCAGCCTGGCTAGAACTCCTGACTTCAAGTGAACCTCTTGGCTCAGCTTCCCAGACAAGGGATATTATTCATATAGTGGTAGAAAGCTCAGCAGAATTGTGTCTACTTATGTAGAAAACAGACCTTGTAAGGATGAACTTGGATATTTAGCTGTGTTGCAAAGTGTTGAGGTGGACTTGGTTTCTTCTTGCTATGGGTAGATAGTAACAATCTACCCATAATGCCAAGTATGTTAAATTTGACCACTCCTTGTCAGGAAAATGTGCTATGAAGAGAAATGCAAGGGTGAACCTGGACAATCTTTTGCTAGTGCCTAGGAAGTATCAAAGGTCGGAGTATTCAGTCACACAAGGGGCCCCTTGTGAGAGATTAGGCATGTGGCTCATGGATCTCCTCAGTTGTCTGAGCAGAAGCCAAGCATAGAAATGAGATCATTAAAAAAGATTTGTGGGAGAGTCTCTTGTCTAATTAAATGAATCCCTGAGACATACAGAGGAGATCTACAATGTTCTTAAGAATGTTAAACAAGCAGAAACACTGCTAGCTTTTACTGAAAGGAACAAAGAGGGCAAAATGAAAGAAGGCTGTCAGACTCCCAAATAAGAGACAAAAACACACAGAGGGCAGGGCATGGTGGCTAATCCTAGCACTCTGGGAGGCTGAGGCGGGTAGATTGCCTGAGCTCACCGGTTCGAGACCAGACAAGCCAGAGCAAGACCCCCCACCTCAAAAATAGCCAGTCCCAGCTACTCAGGAGGCTGAGGTAAGAGGATCACTTCAGCCCAAGAGTTTGAGGTTGCTGTGAGCTATAATACCACACACTCTACCAAGGGCAAAGCAAGATTCTGTCTCAAAATAAATAAATAGGCTCGGCGCCTGTGGCTCAAGTGGCTAAGGCACCAGCCACATACACCTAAGGTGGCGGGTTCGAATCCAGCCTGGCCTGCCAAATAACA